AACATGACACTTCACAGATCTATCAACTCTGGGGTTTACATTGTAAACATTGATGGTGTGAATACTTGCTGACATTTGCCTAAAACATGGAAAATGGTTCTGAGCATGAGAACGTGAAATGGAAAGTTCACCTCCAGATGGAGGCGCAATGAGCAGGAGTCATTACAATAACTATGTGACAACAGAGCTGTCCTATCTCCTTTCATGACAATGTGACATCCTCCAGAGCGCTTGACCACAGCCTCATTTACTTGTTTTCTAGTTTACATAGACTTGGACTTGTCAATCACTTCCAAAATCTGGGAAGGCTTATCACTACCCTATCCTATAACCCCTACCTCACCTGCTAGTTACTATCAACCCATCCCACCTGATTCTGGTAGAACTACACTGGCACAGGCACCAGCAACATAACCACCAACCACAGAGCCTCCTGTCAGCCCTCTTGTAGGCACTTGACCTGCATCCACCCCTTTCTTCTTCAAAGTCTTCTCCCTTTCTTCAAAATCCCACAGCTCACATCTCTTCCAGTCTAACCATTGTTTTGGTGTCTCCCTTGTGAACATTTCTACTCTGTTTTGTGTTGTTAAAACCCAAGTTGAATCCTTTCAACCATTCCTTTTACCAACATGATTCTCTGGTCCCCATTCCAGCCCAGACTCTGATCCTGAGCACTGTAGCTTGGTCCCTGGCAGTCAATTAGACAGCTCTAGGTCAGTCCCTCTAAGAACAAAGTTCCCTATCTTCCCCACATTCCTCATCCTGGGGCTAATGGCGCCTCTCCCTGATCAGGCTAGAACTCCTCATTCACTCTGTCCTCACATGCACTTCCTGTCAATCTTTAAATACCATGTTTTTCCCACTCCCATGGCTACCCCTTAACTGATGCTCTGCGTCCTTCTCTGGGACTATTACCGCTACCTCCGAGGAGGTCTCACCTCTTTCCGTGTCCCACTCTTCAAGTCTGACCTCCACTTTACTGCCCAACTAAATGTTTAAGTTCTTCTCTTGCTCCCAGCTGCCTATCAAATGAAGACCATCTTCTTATCATGACCTAAGACCCTTCATGACCAGGCTCCTGTGCCTCTCAGATCCACTGCCCATTAAGCATCTTGCTGCTCACAGAATTTCAGTTGTACCCAATTAAGACAGCTGTATGTTTCTGCCACTTTTTGATCCGTGCTCTACACCTGAAATGCCCTTCCCTCAAAGAAGCCACGGTCACATCTGACTGTTATCATCTTGGCAAATTCCTGCTCAGCTCTCAGGCTCTCCTCATCTCTTTGGCAGTGCTTTTTCCAATCTTCCCTGTGGCTTCTAGGGCCTTCTGCCTCTCTTCTGGCAACAAGCCTCCTACTTACAACTGTCTGTTTACGTGTCTGCCTCATCCTTATTTACATATATTATATATTTATTTTGTATTTATGTTGTAATGTTTATCTTGACATTTTGCCTTCAGACTAATATAAACTTACTAAATGTTGGTAGAATAAAAACTTCGCCAAATTCACTAAAAATTCAGAGACCAGCGGACTCACACTGTGTAAGCTTTTAGAGAACTGTAGTAAGGACCTTGTGGTTGCAATTATCAAATTAAATAAAGTATACATAATCCACTTAGTTCTGTTCTTTGTTCTCACGAGCTCCCTTTTAATATCTCATTGCCTGATTCATCTGTTGGCCTGGATACTTTTTTCCTCTGGCTGCCCTAATAGGTCCAATTAGTCAATTCGTCAAAAAATCCCACTGAAATTCACAGGTGTTGGCTTAGGTTATGAGCCTGGGCCTTTGAAGTTTCCCCTTAGATTCTTCCTGAAATATTAGCATTGAGCTGCATTAATCTAGGAATAAACAATTCTCACACTGATACAGAATTTTTCCTTTAATGTATTACTTGTCCTAATACTAAGATAGGTCATTGATTAGAGTCGGTTGGCAAGTGCAGAACAAATGTATGAAACCCCAGAGAGTTTCCCTCCCCATACAAAACCCCAGATAACCCCATACAGTTCTACTGTCCAGATTCCACGTAAGAACATCCTATCCTCATCCTTCGTCTAAGGCACATAGACTTGATTTTTATTTCTCTCTCTCAGACTGTCCCTTCCTGTTTGGGCTTGCACTAACCCCTGCTGATCTGGTCCCCAGCTGAACTTCCAAAAGCAATCATTGTACCTCGCTCCCTACTCCATCATCCCAGGACTCTGATAGCGCTGTACTTAGAACCTCACTCTAGAGTCCAATTTGCCACAAATCTAAGGTGAAACTTCTACCCACAGCCCAATTATATTTTTGGAGGGTCCTTTGTCTCGTCTCAGGCAATCATCATTGAGTTCCTCCCAGACCAATTTTCTACACTGTCTTTTCTTTCCTTCTACAAGTAAGCAAGAAAAGAAAATCAATCTTTATAACAACATGGCTTATTTTATAAAAAGGTTGAAAGACAGTTGAGGTTTAGAGTACCCTGCAGATTTTTCCATACCCCTTTTCACTCATGTTATTAAGACTTGGCTTTAGTTTTCAGCCTTCAAGGCCCCGATCTTAGCTGTTCTTGAACTCTCCAGACGTCACAGTGTTGCTGTCCTTTGTGTGTTCAGCAATGCACAAATGTTAAAACACACTTTAATGTTAAGAAAACCCAGGCCTGAGCAGACCATCGTGACTCCCAGCACTAAGGAGGCAAGTACCAGTCACTCTGGAATATGGAGGTGAAAAAAAGTGGTTAAACTGTTAGAATAAAAAAGAAACGGTTACTTTATTCTATTTGTAGTCAGAGGAATTTGCTAAGCTCGAGATGGATCCCCTATATCCTCACATCCCCAGAACAGGAAGTCCTTACCCTCAAGCCTGAGAATCATTTACCCCTCATTTTCCTCTTCAAAATAATGGTAGATTGAAACAATGATCAAGAATACAAATTAGCTCAGCTGGCTAGTCTGGGTATGGACAATCAGCTTGTGCCGGTGGGAGGCCTCTTCTCTTTCCAGTGGAGGCTCTAACCCACAGTGCGAAGCCTTGCACTGCCTACAGTCTGCTGGAAGAATATAAGTAGATCTGTGTATCACTGGTTCTAGAAACACAACTAGCCAGAGGCTGACTCAGTAGCATCCTCCTATAGATTTTGTCTATTTTCATTTTAAAAGGGAAGAATTCAAAATTAAGGTCTAAAAAACATGGATCAGATACAATTTCGAAAGCCAAGTCAATGAAAGGCTGGAATTGGGTGAGCATCGCTTTCTTGTACATTCTGTCATCCCTTGTCCCAGTTCTGTATGATTATAGTCTAGGAATAGGGATGTAGCTCAGTCGGTAGAGTGCTTCCTTAGAATACAAGGGGTCCTAGGTTTCATCCACATCACTATATAAACTGGCTGTGGTGACCTGTACCTGTAATCCTAGCACTTGGAGTATACAGGCAGGAGGATCAGAAATTCAAGAGCCATTACGAGCTACATAAGGAATTTGAACCCAGCTTGGGTTAAGAATATATACATCTATATGTATATAAATATGTGTGTGTGTGTGTGTGTGTGTGTGTGTATTTAGGGGTATTCAAGCATATCTTTAGTGGCTTTGACCTTTACTTCAAGCAGATTCTTCCCTACTAAGAATTAGTGTTGCAGGAACTTGGAACTTCGCTTCATTAAAGAAACATGTTCTATAAACTGTGACTAGGCAACTGGACAATAAAGTCTACCTTGCCACAACAGTTGTGGGTGTCCAAAAGCTGAATATATACAACCCCATAGACCAGATTATTCCCAGGTGACAAGTGGCAGGATACGTATCAAACCAATAGTAGCACATGCTGAAATTATGCACAGCTGTTTGCTAAGACTTTGTCCTGATTCACCAGCTACAATACAGCTGCAGGTTCACACCCAAGCTTGCCATCTGACTTTCCATCATTATGGGCTATCCTGGGGCATGTATTGTTAAGAGAGGAAGATTAAAAACCCACAGATGATGGATGGTGTCTAAAAGGAGGATACTCTAATTCAGAAGTGATGGACAAGAAACAGAATCTGGCCTTTCTTCTCAAAAGGAGCTAATGGCTAACCTCTTTTTGCTGGTTACATTTAAAGAACCCATCACCCTGATTCCTAGCACTCTTCCTTAAAACAGCCTATGTGCCCCATCTCCTCTCCAACATGATCATTCAAAGTAGGTCAGAAATATTGCTTCCTTCTCCTCATTGATTTTCATTAAGAGAACGCACTTTCTGGAGCATTAAAGGAAAAGATCAACACACAATACAACTTCCAGTGAGTCCCTCTGTAAATTTTTGGCACAGTAAGTCTCGTTTTCCCAAAAGCAGAAAAATCTAATCATCCAGAATGTATCCTTCTTGGCTATAAACCAGCAGTAATCTTAAACTGTACAGTACATGGTACAAGACTTCAGCCAGGTGACGAACCTTCCCCAAGGAGCATATTAGCTTTACCCATTATAATTTTCTACATCACCAACCCGCCTCTTTCCTAAGTACTTTCTTCTCTGCCTTCTTCACATCCATGTCTTGCCAGAATGTCAAGAGACCATACTCTTCTTTATCCGGAAGCTGAAAGCATGGATGAAAGCATTTGTGGAGACAGGGGAGCAGAGAAATCAAGGGAGGGAGGGTGGGTACCTAGGTCTCTAAAAAGCTATAATGCCTTAGTTTTCTAAATCCCTTGGGGCAGGGCTTCCCCAGTCTCCACCCCTTCCTGAAATTTCTTTCTCAAACCCAGGTCCTGAGACCTGACTCTCCAAACCGGGCGCCGCAAAGTCCTTCAGAAACCCCCAAACACCAGAGAGACTTACACCACCAGAAAGACAGCAAGCCTCCACAGCCGCTCCTAGCCAGCTAGCAGGGGCGAGCAACTTCATCCCTGGACATAATCGAAGGTCCCTGTTCTCCAAACCCGAAAAAGGTGATGGTCACTCTGAGCCCGGGTCCGCGCGACCGCCCCACCCCACACCCCGCTGCAAACTCCAAGTGGGGACCCGGTGCTGCTCACCTCCTGACACGCAGGAAGCGGGCGGCCCGAGGAGGACGAGTCCCCAGCCCAGACTGCCTGGCAGCCGGCGAGCGCCCAGCAGCAAATCCAGGCGGGGTTCCAGAGCAGCGAGAGCGCGCGGCGGGGACCCCCGGCCGGTCGCCCCCGGCCCCTGCCCGGCGCCCGCCGCACGGGGAGCAGCAGCATCACGGCAGCGGGTGGACTCAGGCGAGGAGGATGCGCGGCTCCGGCTCCGGGAAGCGAGGACCGTGCTCCTCTGGGCTCAGCTCAACTGGGCTGATCCGCCCGCTGACAGCTCGGCCGCTTGCAGCGCGGGCAGCCGGCGCCCGTGCTCCCGTCACGCCAGAGGGAGGGACCGTGGGACGCGGGCGCGGCGCGGGGGCGGGACGCGGGGCGGGGACGCGGGAGCCCGGAGCAGGTGGCGCGGGCTGCGGCTGAGGCCCAGCCCAGCACGCGTGGAGCAGTGGCACTGCTAAGCGCTCAGGAGCCTTGCGACAAGATAGAGGGAGTCAGAGAGGCCAGGGACTCCCGGGGTGTCGCCCCTCTCTAGTTCCCTGCGGACATCCTAGGGATGGATATCTCTTATAAGAATCCACGCCTGGTAACCTCAAAATGAATTTCTACAAGACTGGGGTTTTCTGAAATGGCAGAGAGGAAAGAGGCCTGAGGTTTGTAGTATTGGACTCGGTTATCTCATCAATTTAATGAAAATGATAACAGCACCCACCACGTGAGGTCGCCATGCGGGTTAATTAAGTTGATGTGCACAAAGCTCTTGGAAAGGTGCCTGCCTCAGGGTAGATGGAATGAAGTGGTGGTACCAAACCTACTTCCTGCTGATTTTGTTATTATTTCATACGGATGTGTAGCCTCAAATAAACCTTTTTGCTTCTGGGAAAGCATTTATCCTCTACAAAAACTGCAGCGACGGTCTATTTTATGTGGTCCCTCCCAGGCAGTGAAGGATGACATGTCAGTGGGAGGAGCTCAAGGATCCTCTGACACACTAAATATAAACGGACCTGAATATGTCTGCAACAGAGTAAATACATTTACTCAAATACATAAACATTTCCTTTCCGTTTCCTTCCACTTACGGTTTAGGAGTACCCAAACAGGTAAATGGCTGTTATCGCTTCATTTTTATTTCCTTTGATTTTTTTATATATTCTTTAATCCATCAAGAATTTATGTAAGCCAGATTTATATTATCTTTGTCAACAATTAACAAAATGTCTAATGAATTAAAAACACTTTCTTTATAAAAAAAAAGCCCATTTTAGTCAGATTAATAAGTAGATTAAATTACAGATTTCCCTAAGTAGCATTCTTTGTAACTCTCAATTAATAATTTCTTCTTAAAGGATTAAACAGCTTAGAGTTACTAAGTGTCCATTGGTTTTCTTTTGTGCAGGGTACATCGGAGGTGAACTTCACTAATACACAACAATCACCAGAACTACATCAACAACAGCACAGCTAAAGGCATGCTTTCTACAAAGATTTTTCTTTTTGCAGGTTAAACCAGATTGTAGTATAAGTAACTGAAAATTTTTAAATTCTCTACGCACAAAAATGTTATTAAGTATGAATTCAAGTAGCAAATATTTGAAACGTAAATTTTATACAGGCAGAATGAAACATGAAAAGTATTTCTATATGAATCAGAGAATGAGAAAAATTCTAAAAAATGTGAGTGTGAGTCATGCACTCTGGAGCGCAGACGTTCTTGAAAACAGTTTGACAGCGTACTAAACAGTGTTTACTCAGTCAGGGACCGTGGTGGAAGAGGAGACAAAACCAATGTAGGAGCCAGAAGGAAGATAAAGAGGACTGCCTCAGGCTGTCTCTAAGCACCAGGTAGCCTTTGCAGTCCTTTAAGCACCGCAGCCACGCCCACTGCACTGGGCTGTCAACAGGAACTCATGGGTCTCAAGAGACCCTAGCCCTCCATGATGAACTACTGACTACTGATGAATTCTGGAGAAGGGACAGTCATTGTGTTCACTTGTGTTCCCAGGAGTGAGCCCAGCAGGCTCTACGGGCGGGATAGCTACCAACCCACATTCACACAGATGGCCCTGGTTACGCTTAGGTGGTGACAAGACAAAACAAGAAAGCATGAGTGTAGAACGGAATCTATAGGGGATGACAGAAATGGGAGGAAGATAAGGGAGGGAAATGTGAAAGGCATCACAATAAACATATTAGAAATTGCCAAAGAATAAACTTAATTAAAGTTATCAAAATATGTGTATGCCTTTAGCTTTTAAAATTTTTATTTAATTTTTTTCATACAATATATATTGATATTTTTCCCTTCCCCTAACTCCTTCCAAATCCGTCTCATCTCCCTACCCACCCAACTTCATGTTCTTTCTCTCTTTCTGGTCATTTTTAATTCTAGCCATCTAAGAACTAGTAATTAAAGAGGGCAAGTTTTTGTGCTCACTGTTGTTTAATTAAAAATGAAATCGCCTAAGTGCCCCCAAATGGGGAATGGCTAAGTAAATTATGCGTCTTCCTGTGGTAAAACTATACCGATATTAAAGTTGTATTTTCAAAAGATACTAAAAGACTTAAGGAAGTGCAATGATACTTTTTCAGTGTTTAAAGGCTGGAAACTCACGTTAAAGTCGCTGGTCTCCAGGTGTGGTGGAAGAGAGTAGGGTGTGCAGCTGAGGGGCTGTTAAAGGAGCATGATTAAAACAACTAACCCAAACCTGTTGGCAGAGAGAGGCTGTGGAATAGACTCATAGCAAGACAGCTGTTTGCTTTTCTTCTTTTTTTTTTTTTTACAGACTGTTTTCATATTCTCCATAGTTACTGTGCAGTCTTATTATAATCATCATGTATCAGCTACACTGTCTGTGTTCCTTGTCAAACAATTCAGCCATGGGAGAGGGTCAGACACACACATAAAAATGTCAAGACCAACAGTTCATCAATGCTGTTTGTAAAACAAAAAAAGAGGTAAATGAAACCTAAATATCTAATACTAAGGGAAAACAAAACAAATAATGTTGTATGTAAAAGAAACTCTTTATACAAATTAATCTTAGTGGAATTTATTTGAGAGATATAAACATGAATCAAATAGCACCCTAAACCAGAAAGCTCCAGCTAGCAGCATCGTAGACATCATTTGGAGACTACAGAGGATATGACATATAGAAATAGCCTAGCTCAAACATTGTATCCTCAGCCCTCCACATTGATAACTTATCAAAGACACATAAGCTATAAATTCACTAATATAAATATCATGACAAAATGAACCATTTTGCATAATATGCCAATATTCTGAGTTTGTGACATATAGTTGTACTAAGGCTGTGTATTGTATTATAAAACACAGCAAGAGAGGGGGGGAAGGAGGAGGAGGAAGAGGAGGAGGAGGAGGAGGAGGAGGAGGAGGGG